AGAAAGAGAAAAAGGGGAGGGAGGATGGAAGGGAGAGTGAGAAAGAGAAAGGGAGGGAAGAAGGAAAAAGAGAAGGGAGGGAGAGGAAGGAGGAAAGGAAAGAAGGAAGAGAGAGAGGAAAGGAAGGAGAGAGAAAAAGAAAGAAAAGAAAAGAAAAGAAGAACATGCAAGAATCCCCAGTGTTTTGGCTGGCAAAATGTTCTTTTCCCAACTGCTTTACACAAGAGGCTGCTGAATTGGGGCCAGCATAATTCACTCAAGGGGTCTGGAGAGGCAGGTCAGTAGCCCGGCCAAGGGTGGGATCCCCACCCCACCCCACCCCACCCCCGATCCTGCTTTTTGGACTTCCTCTTTGCCCCCTTCCGTCGCTTTCTGTTGAGCCACCCATCCTGGGATTTTTTTCTCCCTGTCTCTCAGGTGGCCTAGTAATCCGGTTATTAATTGACTCTGTTGTAGTTGACAGCTGCAATCGAGCAATTCTTGGAAGCGCCCAGAAATAACTGCCAAGTGTATAGCGTTAAACAGGTGCTGTTCAATGAGATAAAGATAATACGGACCAATCACTGAAGGGCAGGGGTTCCCCCAAACTGGGCCACTTTTAAGACGTGTGGACCTCAGCTCTGCTGGCTGGAGAATTCTGGGAGTTTGAAGTCCACACGTCTTAAAAGTGGCCCGGTTTGGGGGAACCCCTGACTTGGGGTGCTAGCAAGTTCCCTCCTCCCCACTGACTCAACACCCTTTTCTGGAAAGGCGAGGCCCCAACAGGCCCATGGTGGTTGCGATCCAAAGAGCGCCTCTGTGAGAAGGGCGCTTGGCACCCCCTTTTCAAATCCCCTTCTGTGCCCCCACGAGTCATTGGCTGTCTCTACTCAAAAGATCCAACTCCCATCCTCTGTGGAAGCCAGAGGAGGCAACGGGCTGATCCACAGGTGTTGCGGGACACGGAGGACCTTGTCTCATCCGGACCCACAGGGCCAGATCTCCTCGAACATAGAATCCAAGGGCTGGAGGGGAACTTGAAGGTCATCTAGTCCAACTCGCCTGCCCAAGGGAAGAGTCCTCATTGCCTCCTGGAGAAACGGCTTTTGCTCCTGTTTAGCAATTTACTCCAACTAAAAGTTTTACCAGTAATAATAAATTTTTTTTACAAGTAGTTGAGTAGTTTGCTACTGTTTAGTGGGCTCTTTTGAACGTTTCCGGCGGGATGTTTTGCCTTTTTCTTCCAGGTCACCCGCATGCTGTATGGTTTCCTGATCCAGTCCAACAACTCCTGGTTCCAGGCCATCACTAGGCCAGATTTTAAAGGGCCTCTGGGTGAGGCATTGTGTGTTTGTGTGCCTGTGTGTGTGTGTGAAAGAGAGAGAGAGAGAGAATGAGAGAGAGAATGAGAAAAAGAGAGAGAATGAGAAAGAACTGAGGGAGAATAAAGAGAAAGAATGAGAAAAGAGAGAATGAGAGAGGGAGGGGAAGAATGAGTGAGGAAGAAGCAAAAGAGAGACTGTGTTCTGACCAAGGCTTCCCAAGACCGTAATTAAGCACATGCTTAGTCCAAACAACTCTTGTTTTATTTTAATGCTGGGAATTATGTGCATTCTCAGCCTGTAATGAGACCCAGACAGTCCCTCGAGATAAGCACCCACCTTTCTCTCCTTTGAATGGCTGCCAACAACTAGAGTGCCAAATGAATTATTAAAAAACCAGCCAAAGTACAAAGTCCACACAGAGCTTCAAGGATTCATCCGAACAGAGCGAACGACTTTGCTTCCTGCAGAGGTTTCTCTACCTTTGCATTTCCTTTATCCCTTAGGGGAGGGGCCATCACCTCCCAGCCTTACCCCCGAGTCGCCCCTTTTGTCTCAGCTGCTCTGGCCTTCTGGCAGCTCTGCACATGCGCAAACTGGGAACAGGCTCCCCTTGCTCCTCTGCCTCACTGCTGCCAGACCCCGAAGGCTCCAGAGGCAGCACCCCACTCCCAGGTGGTCCTGGCCCCATCTCTGCATGGGACGCAGTCCTCCCCAGAGTCCCGGACTCGTCCCCGTTCTTCCCCACTGTCAAATTCCGCTGCTGTCTGCACCAGCTGCTTGGCAAGCCACAACAGATTGAAAGATTAAAAAATGAGGAAAAAGAGACAAAGAGAATGAGAAAAAGAGGGAGAGAGAAATGGAAAGAGAATGAGAGAGAAAGAACAGAGAGAGAGAATGAGAAAAGAGAGAATGAGAGGGGGAGGGAAAGAATGCGAGTGAGAACCAAGTGAGAGAATGAGAGAGAAAGAATGAGGAAAAAGGGAATGAGAAAAAGGGAGAGAGAAAATGAAAGAGTGAAAAAGGAAATGAGAGAGAAAAGAGAGAGAGAGAGAGAGAGAACGAGAGAGAGGAGGATCTCCAGGGGTGAAGGCTGCTGCCTGAGGGTACTCTCTGCCCCCCCCCCCCTTTTCTGTCCCCTCCCAGGCGATGAGCCCCTCCAGTATTACATCGCGGTCTCCAGTCCCGTCAACTCCACCAGCCTCGTCCAGTATGTCTTGGCCAACCTCACCGGGACCCGCCTGGGGGACAACATCACCAAGGAGCATTGCAAAGATTCCAAGGACGATGTGAGTCTCCTCGTCCTCTTAAGTCGAGCACGGTTCTTGTTGTTGTTGGTTTTTTTAACAAAACTGGATAAAATAGTCACCAGGAAAAATAAATAAACATGTTTTAAAAAAAGAAATCTGGGAAATAAACAGCCCAGGTGGTGAAAACCCTGGGAGAAGCTGCTGCCCGCCCCCCACTCTTCAGATGCCACCACCCGAACACATGGAGGCATCTGGAGAAGGTCTCAGACACATCAAGTTTGCACAAGATTCGGTGACCTTTGGAGGATCTCGGACCACAACTTGTCAACTTCAAAGATAGACAGAGACAGATCCTGATCCCTTAGCTGGGCCAGCCAGGAGCCCAGCTAAACCTGGTCCTAACATTTAGCATTGTTTTAACCCAGGCTTCGTCAACCGTAATCATGCACAGACTTACTTTAAAAACAGGATTTGTTTTATTGCAACACTGGGAATTGTTTTCATTCCCAGCCGGAATTAATTTCAAACAGTCCCTCGAGATAAGCACCCACCTTTCAATTCTGTGAAGTGCTGCCAAAAACAGAAGTATCAAATGAACGAGAAAAGAAACCAACCGAAGTACAAAAAAAAAACCCCAACTGAAGTACAAAGAACTTCAAGGATGACTTGGAACCGATCGAACTACTTTGCTTCCTGCAAAGGTTTCATCCTCTTGGCCTGACTTTTATATCATATGGGAGGGACAATCACCTCCCAGCCTTACTCCCGAGTCGCCCCTTTTGTCTCAGCTGTTCTCACCTTCTGGCAGCTCTGCGCATACGCACACTGGGAACAGGCTCCCCTTATTCCTCGGCCTCACTGCTGTCAGATTCTGGAGGCTCCGGAGGCAGCACCTGACTCCCAGATGGTCCTGGCCCCATTTCTGCATCGGATGCAGGACCCTCGTCCAAGTCCTCTCCAGACTCCCGGACTGGTCCCCGTTCTTGACTTTTCTGGTCAGAAGTTTGCAAAAAAGGATCCCATAACCTCTGGGACACTGCAACTGTCATAGGTACATGCCTGTTGCCAAGCCTCTGAATTTTGATCGCTTAACCATGGGGATGCTACAGTGGTCATAAGGGTGAAAAACGGTCATAAGTCACTTTTTTCAGTGCCGTGGGAACTTTGGTCACTAAATGAATGGTTTTAAGTCGAAGTGAGACTAGAAAGAGTGCAGAGAAGAGCAACCAGGATGATGAAGGGACTGGAGGCTCAAACATACGATGAACGGCTACAGGAACTGGGCCTGGCTAGTCTAGGGAAGAGAAGGACCAGGGGAGACAGGAGAGCAGCCTCCCAGTATTTGAGGGGCTGCCCCAGAGAGGAGGAAGGGGTCAAGCTATTCTCCAAGGCACCCGAAGGCCAGACAAGAAGCAATGGATCAAGGAGAGATTCAACCTGGAAATAAGGAGACATTTTCTAGAACCATCAACCGAGGGAACAGAAGTCTCCTTCAGAAGTTGTGGGAGCTTCATCCCTGGAGGCTTTCAAGAAGAGACTGGACTTCCACCTGTCAGGAATGGTGTAGGGTCTCCTGCTTGGGCAGGGGGTTGGACTAGATGACCTACAAGGTCCCTTCCAACTCTGTTATTCTGTATCTGAGGTCTACCTCTATAAACCATCCTGCGGGGATGGTTGTTTTTTTCCTGCACGCGGCTTAAGGGTTTACCTGGAAAAGGGCAATTTTTGCAAATTGACCTATGTGAAGATTAATATCAAAGCGATCGCTTGCTTTGGCTTTCATCCATCTATTTCATTTATTCCGTTTATACGCCTCTCTCAGACTCCGGGTGGCTAAGAGCAGCAATAAATAAATAAATAAAATCATAGCTATGAAAACAACACAGCCATTCAGCAGCTGAGGTTCAAAAATAAATAAAAAAAATAAAAACCGACAGCAAGAAATCGGCATAACCAATACCCAAACTTTTATGTTCAAAGCTTTATTTTTTAAAAAATAAACTTTATTCAGTTTTCCAACAGTTTAAAAAAACCACAAAAACAACACAATTGGATCAACATTGAAGACGTCATCTACATTTCTTAATCATATTCTTATACTTAATTTCTTGTTGCATTACAATTATTAAACATTACTTTTCCTATTTATTTACCTTTCCGTACTCCTTATTTATACCGATGGTTACATAATACATTTTCTATTAATTCTACATTCAGTATATATAAATTCATATCCTTTAATTGATAACAAGTATTAATTTTCTTTCTCTTCTCAAACCATGCATACCAGGCGTCCCAGGCTGAATAATATATCGATTCTTCTCTGTCCTTTAACTCTAAAGTCAGCCTGTCCATTTCTGCGCAGTCTAAAATTTTCTTTATCGTGGTCAAAGCGGCACACGAATAACCGGGCTTTGCGTCTTAATTCCCCCTGGGTTTTATTTCCTGCAGTTCTACAGTTACATGTGGGTGCAGGGCTCCCCGTACCCCAACGCCAGCTCCCCCCGCAAGCCCTTCTGCGTCAGGTCGACGGTCCGCCGCACGCCGGCCTCCTCTCCGGCCTTCGAGCTCCAACAGTGGGGATCCACCGAGTTTTCCACCTGGACGGAGAGTCGCTGGAAGGAGCTTCATGGACGCATCTTCTTGGTCGCCAGCAAACAGCTGGAGGTGAGGTGCTGAACGGGGAGGTTGGATTGGGTGGTTTGCTAAAGTATAGGAGCTTTCTAACCCTGGCCGGCCGTCCGTTCATCCATCTTATCTACTCTCTCTGTGTGTCTCCTTTTTATCTTACCTATATTGTTCTGTCCCTTTCTCTGCCTCTTTCTCTATATTATCTCTCTGTTATTATCTCTCTGTTTATCTTATCCGTCCATCCATCCATATGTGTCTCTATATCTCTATATATTGTGTGTGTCTCTCTATTTATCTTTATATCTCTTATATCTCTCTTTTTATAATTTGCCTCTATAATCTATCTTTATCCCCTAAAATCCATCCATATCTATCTATCTATCTATCATCTATCTATCTATCTATCTGTCTATCTATCTATCTATTCTATTCTATTCTATTCTATTCTATTCTATTCTATTCTCTCTCTCTCTCAGTTCAGTTGTGGCTTTTAATGGGCTCCACTTACGACCACAATTGAGTCCAAAGTTTCTGTTCTTAAGCGAGACATTTGTCAAGAGAGTTTTGCCCCATTTTAGGCAAGGGAGGGGGGAAAGGGGTTCGAAAGAGCAGTGCGGCAGTTTGCAAACTGAAAGTGCATTCCATAAATAGTTTTTCAAAGATAGTAACTAGGGGACTGAAGTTTCTGCCCTGCCAAATTCTACCTGGGGAGCCTGATTGATGACTCTGGGCTATGGAGGTGTCCCATTGGAGGATATGGATTAGGATACGCCCAGAGGGGTAAGGGGAAAACCAGGGTGAAGGGTGACAGTGAATGACGTGTCTCAGAGTCGGCTCCATCCAGGCATCGCCGGACATTTTAACGCCTAATAAATCTTCTTTAAGTTTCGGAAGTGCGGCTTGAGACTCGTGATTTAAATGGGGGCAACGGCCGGAGCCCTGACACCCTTTTTGAACCCCTGCAGATCGTCACCCTGGTGCTGGGCCTCGTCATCCTCATCGTCTCGTTCGTGGCCACCTACTTCATCAACGCCAAAGCCCACGTGCTTTTTTCCACGCCGGGGGACTCCGAAACCGTGGCCTACTGACCGACCTGCGCCCGGGGACTCTGCAGCGCTACGGACCAAGGAATTGGGCGTGAATTGGGCCCTTTGACCACCGTGGAGTGAGGGGGTGTGTCTCGAAGGGTCATGTTCAACCTCACCCCGTTGAGAGAGAGACAGACAGACAGTCACAGGGCGGGTGTACGGAAACGCAATGCTGGCAAAGGCACGGATTGATTTGGAAGCGGGGGGTGGGTGGGTGCCGGGGGGCTTTCTTGGGTCTCTCGGACCCTCCTCCATCCAGCCTCCCCGGCCCAAATGGGGAACCACAACTGGGACACACCCTCTTGCGAGCGGTGAAGAGTTGGCCATCCAAGGAGACGCTCTGCGCGGAGTATCTGCGGACCTTCAACCTTGTAGTTTCTCACTTTTTCTTCTTTTTTTTTTTAAATTTTGAAGGTCTGGATAAATTTGCTTGACTCTTTTGATTGACGTAGATCAAAGTGGAAAAAAACAACAAGGGACGGAGGGAAGTTGGAAATGGGTGTAAACTATCCTTTTTTTAAGAAAAAAGAAAACGTGGGTTCTGGGTTTTTGGTTGTTTTTTTTGTACATACGAGATTAAATAGCCTGTTTTTGATTGAAAACCATCAGCCACCCCTTTAACTTGCAGATTAAATTTGTTGATTCCCTCCCTGCCTTAAACTGATTTGCCCCAGGCTGCCTGAGAAGTTGTGAATTTGGGGGGTGGAGAGATTTCGGGGAAAGGGGTGTGTGGGTTGTCTGGGAAGGCGCTACCGCAGTCTTCCTCAAAGGAAACCTGCCACATCTGAAAAGCCGCAACTAGCTGCTCGATGGGTGGACTTCAACTCCCAGGAAGCTGGCTGGGGAATTCTGGGAGTTGAAGTCCACCCAACTTCCAGAAACACTGAGATAAGGGAAGGCTGAATAATACAGAGAGACATTTCTCTATATTGTTGAAACTGAACAGGTGATATCCTGATCCATTACACGGCTGGGCCAAGCCATTTCTGCCAGCGGCCCATTGGTTTCAGTTGCCATCGTGCCCATGTTTCTTTGGAGACCGTGTTTGCAGGACGTTGCACACCCCGTGCCAACGTTCTGGCGGTCTACAACGAAGCAGAGCGTTGTGCCCAACGTGCTCGTTTAAAAGTGGCTTGGCTGGTTTTGCTAAAAAGCAAAAAACAAAAAACGGAACACATTCAATTAAACCCATCAGTTAGTTCCGAAAAAAGTTTAAAAGCCATAACCAGTTGAAAGACCGAATTATTTCAGATTGCTAGATGACTCTGTGTTTGGAATCCATCAATCATAACGTTTATTGTCAATGCGCAACGTGTGTTACAATGAAATTGAAAAGGGATCGGGCTCTGGATTCCGAGGTTGAGTCAGGTCTTTCTAGATTAACAACCGTCACTGAGACTGGAGATACAGCGGTACGTCATGCCTGCCATTAAGTAGATCGCCAGATGGCCCCACCTGGTTTTGCAACCTGCTTTGTGGCAGTCGTTAAGTGAATCCGTTTTAGCCAGTGGATTTTTTTCACCCCCCCCAGAAATCAGAATAAAGGTCAAAAAAAATACAAAACACGAACATGTAGTATGGATGCTACAAACAGCCATAAATGTGGATCGGTAGCCAAGCACCCCAGAATGCAATCATGTGGTCGCAGGGGGTGGGACAGCCCCATCGGAATTTCCAAAATGGGTCGTACGCATCTCTGGGGACGTATGTTGGCAACTCTGTACTGTCGGTCACAAGTGGAGAACCACCTGTAGTTTTCTGTAAATCAGATTGTGAGAAGGTTAGAAAGCTGGCTTATTGACATCCTTCTGCAGCTGGAGCCAACAAGGTCAGCGTGGCAAGATCATCTCTGAGACCTGGAGAGGGTTGACAGGGTATCATTCAACCATGGTTGGCTTGATTCCTTGAGCAAACCATAATAGGTTGCCTATCTCCCCCGTGCTAAGCCACAAACAGGATGAGAGCTACTGTGTTCTCCCCCTCTTGGAGATGTGTACAGTTGGGTTTACGGTTTGGCACCAACCGAGACCTCGGGGCGGGGTAATTGGGTGGCAGTGGTCATCCAAGCATCTGAATAACATCAATGGAGTTGGAAGGGACCCTGCAGGTCATCTGGTCCAACCCCCAGCCCGATGGATGAACAAGTCAAGATCCCAAAATGTTGGCTTGGGAATTCTGGGGGCTGAACTTTATGTATCTTAAAGCAGGCTGAGTGGAGAATTCTGGGAGTTGAAGTCCACCCATGTTAAATAAGGGGTCCTGCTTGAGCAGGGAGTGCGACTAGATTAACAGATTAACCGAAAGGGACCTTGTAGGTCATCTAGTCCAACCCTTCCCCACACCCACACCCAAGCAGGAGACCCTCCACCATTTCTGACATATGGTAATCCAATCTCTTCTTGAAAGTCTCCAGGGATGAAGCTCCCACAACTTCCAAAAGCAACTTCTGTTCCGTTGGTTGATTGCTTTCCCTGTCAGGAAATTCCTCCTTATTTCCAGGTTGAAAAATCTCTCCTTGTTCAGTTTCCATCCATTATTCCTTATCTCGCCTTCAGGTGCTTTAAAGAATAGCTTGACCCCCTCCTCACTTCTCAGAGAGTGGGAGTTTTGTCCTTTGGGACTTGAAAGAGTCTGTTAATGTCACCTTATAATAAGGTAGAATCAGCTTATCTGGGCCAGTTTCCTGTCTGGCCTACCTGCTAAGGCTGACCCCTCCTTTCTACAGAATGGTTCAACCCAGAGCTGGGGGACCCGTGATGGAAGCCCCCAGCTGCTCCCTGCAGTTGTGGTCCCCCCCCGCCTCCCCTCCCCCCCCCGGCTACCTTGGGCGTCATGTCGTGGGTGATGCAGAACTCCAGGTGCTGAAGGATGCTCTCCATCGTGTGGTACGGCTGCTGCTTGGTGGTGCGCAGGTACTTCTGCATGGCCCGGGCCATGGAGGCGAAGATGGCCTGGGCGGCCTCCCGGGGGTCCATGATCTCCCGGGGGTCCTTCTGGTCCTCCTCTGTGGGTGGAGGCCTCTTCCACGGCCACCACCAGCCTGCATGGACCTTCAGGGACCACGTTCCCAAGTCTCCAGCTGTGGGATCCTGTTCCCCAAACTGGCTTGTAGGATCAGTTGGGGTGTTGCTACTCTACCATCCTCCCTGCCCAAGCTACCTTCAGGAGGCCATCTTGAGGTTGCAGTAGAATCCCTCAGGCTTATGGTCTTGGGAGTCTTCAGTCTACCTAAGTTAGGGTTAGGTCTTCAGAAGACTTGCCTTCAGAAGATGTTGGTGCTCCTCTACGGGAGGTTTTGAAGAAGAGATTGGACAGCCATTGGTCTGGAATGATCTAGGGTCTCCTGATTTAGCAGAGGGTTGAGCTGGATGGCCTCCGAATCCCCTTCCACCTCTGGCGTTCTATTATTCTGTTGCTCCCGGCCCTCTTCTTCAACACTCCTCCATCACTCTCCACTGGACGGAGAACGGCAATTCCTTGCAATCTTTCCCTTTTTCACAAGGTCCCCAGATACGGTGACTTTGGGGGGCTGGGGGCGGGGGGAAGAGACCGAGGTTCCCTTCCTTTGGAGCGACAGCCTCGTCCTCCTCACGATTCCCTCCTTCTCTTGGATCCAGTTGCTGGCAAAGATGGCTGAAGCAGCAGCTGCTGCCCGCACTCGGTGGAGGCCAAGAGGCCTCCCCACGGACCCCTCGGTAGCTTCTGTCCCCGTCTGGAAGCCCCACCGCACGGGAGGAGAGGATGAGGCTGGAAAGTGGCGCCAGGCCTGGAACCGTCCCCAAAGCAGATTTGGGTTTGCTCCTCACTCCCTCGCAGACTTCCTTCGGAAGGATGAGCCCTTCGTGGATGGTGGTGGCCCCATCCTCATTCGGCATCGGAGGGTGGCCGAGCACAAGGGCTTCTAGGGCTGGTTTGGCGTTTCCAGCTTTTGGGGCGCTGGGGTGGGCAGTTGCCCCAAAAGCGGGTCGAAGGCCAGGCTGAGCTAAATGACCCAAGCTGAAGGAAGGTGGGAAGAGGCTCTTGTCCTTCTACTTATTCCCATAAAGCTTATAATTTCTTCGTTCGTTTGGTTAGGGCTTGAAACCGGAGGAGGTAAGCAGAGGATGGAGGCCGGGGTGATTTGCGTTACACATCTCTTTTTTTCATCCCTGAATTCATTTATCTCAGTTTCCCCTGCGGAAGGAATTATTTCTCTGTGTCTTTCCTCAGACAGAAAGCTGGAGAGATGTAGAGAAGACCTTCACTCCTTGAGACCAGAGAAGAGGGGGAGGAAGAGAATAACAGGAAGGGGCGAGGGGTTTTAGAGCAGGGGTCTCCAACGTTGGCCCCTTTAAGACTTGTGGACTTCAACTCCCAGAATCCCCCAGCCAGCAAAGACTTGAAGTCCACAAGTGGCCAAGGTTGGAGACCCCAGTTTTAGAGGTCTCCCAGTGCAACCCCTTGCTTAAGCAGAAATCTTATACGATTGGAGATGAAGGCTGTCCAACCTTTGAGTGAAACCGCAGGTTTCCCTGGGATGTAGATCTCAGAGGTGGGATTCTACTGGTTCGGGCCGGTTCTATAGAACCGGTGGTTACAATTCGGCGCAGTTCGGAGAACCGGCAAAGGGTGTCCCTGGCTGGCCTCGCCCCCTCCCTGCCCAGTCAGTCCTTATCACGCCTGCCCAACCTCGCTGGCTGCATTCTCCCGCACCTAGTCACTCCCTCCTTAAGGTTTTTTTTCCCCTCCCAACAATCAGCTGCGTCAGGATCCCCCTCGCTGTCCTACTGCTTCGCACCGGGGGCCTCTTTGAGGAGCAGGAGGCAAAAGGGGGCATGTGGGGTGCTGCGTGGGGACCCCCCCACACACACACTCCGTTTTTTGGCCTCCTGGGCCTCAGGGAAGCCTCCTGAGGGGGCATTTTGGCTCCCAGGACGCTTCCCTGAGCCCCAGGAGGTCAAAAAACAGGGTGGAAGGCAGGTGCTGCCAAAAAAAAGAAAAGACGAAGATGAAGAAGCCACACCCACCCCAGTCACATGGCCACGCCCACCTAGCCACACCCACAGAACGGGTAGTAAAAATATTTGCATCCCACCCCCGGATCTTCTTCACTTCTTCTTCTTGGCTGACCACCAAAATCATGCTGAGCCATCGTAGACTTTCCTTCTCCAGTTCAGGCCTAATAATTCCACGGTCATTTATAATTTCGAAGCGTGAACCCAACCCAACCGCTCCTTAGTTGACCACACCTGACTTAACGATGGATGGACCCAGCTTCCGTGACGGCCAATTTACTTTCAACCTTGGCCGCTTGAAGCCGTGTGGACTTCAACTCCTAGAAAAAGTCCGTGCCTGTTCAAGTAGCCAAGGTTGAAGAGCAGCGGTTTTGAAGGAGTGAGGAGAGGGTGGGAAAATACTTGATTCTTACCCAAAAGGTGCTTTTTTCAGAGTCCCTGAGGCCCCTCGGAGGTTTATCTGTGTCCTCGGGGTCACCTGAGTGGTGCAAATGGTTCCTGTAGTCTGCCATTTTTCCCCTCTGGAAATCCTTTCTTACTCCCACGCCATTCCAAGGGTGTCCATCCCAAATTGTATAGCTCAAAGCCCGTAGAGACTCTCAGTCATCATCCAGATGCTTTCAAAGGATGACAAGCTGTCTGCAAGGGATATA